CCTCCTACTTGGCCCCACCTCTTGAAGATCCTGACTTTCCACAAGCATCGAGTTGGGGGTCTTGCCATTTGTAAATGGGCCCTGATTCAAGCTACAATTTACCAGTACTTCATTACTGGGATCAGCCTTGACATTGCAGGAGGCATACTCAAACCCTAGCTAAACCACAGTGGTTGGTAACTGAAGAAGCAACTTACACTATCATTTAAGTTCTACTCAAGTTAAAACATGGGCTGTATCTTGCTTACACCTAGTAAATACAAAGTGTTGGAGAAATTTAAGAAGCATGACTATTAGTGAGGTGCTTTCAGGAGTAAACTTTTTTTCCCCCTGAAGGGAATGTTTAAAAGCTTTCGAAAGAAACAGATGTCTGGAGGTCATTGGTGCCCCTAATCACAGTGTACTGTCCAGGAAGCCAGTCCTCGCTTGCATGTCTACTGGGGCAGTAGAGCCCAGCTCTATGCATATGCTGTATGAGAATGTGAGGGAAACATGGAGGCAGTGCCCCACCATATAACCTTCCCTTGTTCAGACCTCTTAAGTATTCACGTTTGTTTTGTTGAAAAAATCTTGCTACCTAGCTCGCTCTCTGCCTTCAAACTCTCAATCCTCCTGCCTCAGCTTCCTACGTACTGAGATTACAGGCATACTCCACCAGCTTGCGATAGTTTTTACCTAGTCATTTCTTTCTGTTGTTTGGAATGCCTTCGAAACAACTTTTTATTTTATTTTATGTATTTGTGTGTGTACCTGAGTATATGTATGTACACCATGCATATGCATGGGCCCAAGGACATCAGAAGAGGGCACTGGGTCCTCTGGAACTGAGAGTTACAGGCAGGCAGTTGTGAGCCATCAGTTGTGAGTGTTAGGAACTGATCCTAACCTGGTCCTCTGCAAGAGCCCAGTAAGCACTCTTAAGTACTAAGCCATCTCTCCAGTTCCCAGAATGCCGTTTAAAAACACACACACGTGACCTTTAGTTTTAAAAAGCTATAGAAGTAGACTTTCTCTCAATGTTGCTGTTAAGCATAGCTAACACCCCAGGCATTGTGAGTATGAAGCAAACACTTGAAGATTCTGAAAGGTGAGAAGAAGGCAAGGGACCTTCCAGGAACTTGGAACCCAAGTTCAACAAGGCTCCTGGGTTTGTTTTTCTGTCCTACATATCCCAAACCTGGATGTGAAGAAGGCTGCAACTCAGGAATCACGATATAGCCTGATCAACAAAGCTGCACCCAAGCCAACGACCAGAAAGGAAGCAGACAGAACATGGCGACACCCACTGCAAATCTTACAATCTCACTCCTCTTCAGTGCCTTGTCACTGATGCTTTAAGCTAAAATCACGATACTCCACAGTGCTTGACTAAAGCTTGTGAGGTCACAATTGGTGTGGTCTAGTTCAGCAAACCCCCAGTGGCTACAAATTCCTGTTGCCCCCAGAGGCCCCCCTCTACATATAGTTAGATTAAATTCCACCCTTTTAATATCTCATAGTGGGTATCAAATGTCAACACACGAACCCAGCCCAGACTGCTAGAATTACCTGTGGAACTTACAAAAAGTTATTGATGTCTGGGTCTCCAGATCACTTAAATCAGGACCTCCAGGGGTGGGTAGCTATTCATTAAAATGCTTATTTGATTAAAGTCTGTTTCATCACCACACAGTAGGCTCTAGAAGGGCAGAAATCAGGCAAAAGAGCCAGGTATGGTGGTCAAAAATGGCTGTAATCTCAGCACACAGGAGGTGAACGCAGGGGGATCAGGAGTCAAGGTCATCTCTGGCTATATACCAACGTGTAGGTTAGTCTGGGCTATATGAGACCTGGTCTCAAACACTAAAACCAAAGGTACAAAAGTGAAGCAAGGATTTAGAAGTCTCTTCTTCCTGAACAATGAAAGGCTCCAGTATCTCCAAGTCCATCCCCATCACTCCAGAGCTTCATTACCCAGCTGCAGAAGAGATCAACACAGCATGGTTCCAAGGCACTGTCATAATTTCCGGCTCTGATGCTTAAGCCGCCTCTTTCTTCACACCCAATCAACAAATGGAAGTTCAACAGAAGCTGACAAGGAGGCAGGAGTGACACACATTCCTACTCATGCAGAAAGAATAGAAACTGTTTTCAAAATTAGAGGATTGACAGGGACGCTCGAAGACTCTACGGAAGGAAAGAACCGCGTCTCCCAGGTTTCGACCTGATCAAACGGCCCCGACCCGCTCTCTCAAGGCTTTTTTGTGAGGCCAGCTCCCTGAATGTTGATGAGTAAGGTGATGTGATGAGACACTGAATTCAATAAATTACAGCTGTTCTTGGGGCTTATATTGAAGCTGTCCTCTGTGCCTTGCTATCCCCCTCCCCCAGTCTGCAGCTCTGTTTACGAGTACAAGAGCTAATGTTTTAAACAATTACTCAAGACATTTCACCTTCTGACATTGTGTAAGACTATTAGCCCCCAGACCCCACTCTGTGTGGAACGCCACTATTTTTAGTAACCCTGCTTCATTTTCGCTTCTACGATACTGACACTTCCTAGTCTATGCATTTCGGGGAAAACATCCTGATTTTCTTTACGATTTTTATTTTATGTGTACAAGTGTTTGCCTGCAATGATGTATGCGTCCTCCATGTGTGCCTGTTGCCTGTGTAGGGCAGAAGAGGGTGCAGAATCCCTTGGAACTGGAGTCATAGGTGGCTGAGTCGTCATGTGGAAGCTGGCAATCGAACCCAGGTCCTCAGCAAGAGCTCTCAACCTCTGAGTCATCTCACCGGTCTCAGAGACGTCTTAAAAAAAATTATCTTTCTGATTTTTGCTTTGCGGAGTATTCCCCCTCCCTCAAGTTCCTGCCAGAGTTTCCACGCGAAACTCTGTGGGGGAGGGGCAGACACAGGCTGTATGAAAGTGTACTTGCACACTTTTGCTTCTTCATTATTTGGCACGTTATAAAACATGTTCTGCGGACTGCAGGTGTAGTTCAGTGGTAGGCTGCTTTGTGGGACTCTGAGTTTACCTCCCAGCACAGGAAGGCTTTATGTTACGAGTTTGCCCAGCTATATGTTAACGTAAGTGTTCTAAACACAAGGTACACAAGAAGCCCAAACAGCCAGACTTTGGATTACTTTCCATAACTTTCAGAAGGAGTACAATTATTTTCTAAAGGAAATTTGTCATCCTTAATTTAGTTACTCTATTCACTCTATCCACATTTCTTTTTTAAAAAATTATTTGATTTTTATATGTATGGGTGTTTTTGCCTGCATGTATGTCAGTGCAACACATGAATGCCTGGGACCCAGAGAAACCAGAAGAGGTGTCATCGCCGTTGGAATTGGAGTTATAAATGGCTATGTTGCCACTGGTTGCTGGGAATGAAACCTGGGTCCCCTGGAAGAGCAGTCAGTGCTCTTAACTGCTGAGCCGTCTCTCCAGCCCAAAGTATCTGCAATAACTTTTGGGGGGGAGTGAGTGATAGGATGCTATGTATCCAAAACAGCCTCACACCCCAGGTGCTGGGATTATAGAAGAGTGCCTTTGTACCTGATTCACCCTCTGCATTCATTTTTTTAATGAAATCACACTGAGTTCATGGAATCACAATTCAGGATGGTGATAAAACTTTCTATCTGTGGGGTTTCCAGACTCAGCAGTTAAAAATACAGGACACCGAGTTTCAGTTGGATTTCAAGTAAGTAACAAAATGTTAGTATAAGTATGTAGCATTTGGTATCTGATAACCTTGATGGTGGGATGGGGATGATGTATGGGACTTCTGTGGAGAAGTAAGATTTTCTGTTTCTTGCACACACACAACATTTGATCTTATGCTTTGTCTGGTACAGCTTGACAATCATTGGCTGAACAGATGGAGTGCTATATGTACGGCCAATACGTGCTGAGTGATGATCGATTTAAGATCCCAGCTTCTTTTGACTCACTCCATTTTGATCACTGCCAAAATACTAGTTTTTAATGCAGCTAAATCCCCTCCACCTTCTCAGAGGACATATAGCAATGTCTGGATATATTTTTGGCTGTTACAGTGAGCAGGACTATAACTGGCATCTAGTTGGTTGAGGCCATGGATGCTGCTAAATGTCCTGTGATGGTCAGGGGAACTCATTACAACAGCGTGTCATCTGGTCTAAATGTCCACAGAGTTAAGGCTGAGAAGCCTTGGTCTAGATTGGAGTACACAGTATTTAGCCACTATTCCATCAAATGATTCCAGGACTCTTGTTATCTCATTCTTCAAGATGTCAAATGGAGAGAGAGTGTGTATATACTACCCTTTACACTGAACAAGACTTGATGGCAGAAATTCAATATACTTCTTCAATCTCTTACAAGGGAAGTGTAGAAAAAGTGCCAGCCCTCAACTGCTACAGTTCTCACTGCAGCATGGCCTAGTTATGAAGAGTTTGTTCTGGAACTATAAAATCCAGGTGATCGTAGCATGTAACCCTTCCTTCCTTTAGTGCTGGCACGGCACTATCTGGGACTCATTTATAAATACTAGTTGGAGAAGACAGTATGTGCCTATCATTTTGTCTAGTACCAGGACTGCTCTGGTGCTTGTACTAGAAGGAAGCTGATTGCTAAACACAATTTTCACAATAAACTGAACGATATTTTATGTTTTTATTATGCTCACCTGTAATTGCCTATAACACTTTTACAGACCTATATTTGTATTAAAGATCTCATTAATTTTCATGATGCCCATGAAAGCAAAGAGGGGGTGGATTACAACATTCTCATTTTAAGAGGCAAGAATTGAACCTGCCTGGAGTTACTTTAAAAGCCAGGAGTGAAGTGGTGGTTTTGATAGGGGTACCATATCTACCATCCTGGGCAGCACTCTGTAGATGCCATCTATTCATCTGACCCTAGTTAGTGAGGTGTCTCAGTTACATTTCTATTGCCACGACAAAACACCATGACCAAGTCAGCTTGTAAAAGGAAGCATTTAATCGAGGGCTTACAATGAAAGGGCTGGAGTCCATGACCACGGTGGCAGGAACAGGGCAGGAGGCAGGCAGTCACAGTGCTGGGGTAGTAGCTGAGAGCTTACTGATTCACAGACAGGAAGCAGAGAGGGAGAAGTAGAGGGAGAGAGGCATCGCTAACTGGGAATAGCACGGGCTTACCCCAGTGACACACTTCCTACAATAAGATCATACCTCCTAATCCTTTCCAAACAGTCCCACTAACTGAGGACCAATTCAAACATATATGAGTCCATGGGGGCCATTCTCCGAACCATCACACCCGTCATAAAGGTCTAATTTGAAAATCCCTTTAAAATATACATGTGAGATTGAAAAGGTTGCTAATTAGGGAGGGATAACATAACAAAGACATTTCCTTTTTTTTGTATTTATCCTTTTTATGCCAAATTGCAGCACAGAGAAATAAAAATAGAAAAAAGAATAATAAGTTATGGTTTAGCAACTATTTACTAAGGGATATTCAGTGTCAATTCATTTGCTAGATACACAAAGATCAGAGATAATACATAACCATCATATGGCATTTAATATGTAGGGAAAGGTATTTTGTGTATAAGGAGAAATTGGGCTACATTCTTCATCTACCCAAGTATGGTCAAAGAATTCCAGTTTTTCTTGACCAATAGAAGAAGTCAAGCACCAGTGAAGCCAGGAATCTTAGGCGGAGGCACAGGAATGAACTCAGAGAGCAGATTTTTCACATATCTACTCCTTAGGGCAAATACTTGGAAGGAGCCTTGTCATAGGCAGCTGGTTCTCCACCCACAGCATTGGTTTTGAACCCAGGTTGTAGGTTGGCCAGACGTATTTAAAGGGATGAGGAGGCTGTTAAACCTTGCTCCCGCTGCTCAGGCTGTGTGGCTCTGGATTCTTCCACAGAGACACATTTCCATGGCTACACACTGAAGCCCCCTGGATTGTGGAGCATGGTGTGAAGTTTGAATACCATCTAGTAAGTGGTGGCTACTACTTACAGGTCAATGGGATAAAACTCTATTTTCTACTTAGATAATTAATCGTTAGAAATGATCAACTTTGAAGTAGTGAAGTGTACGTCGCAGTATTTGCTCTTGGTTTTATTTTAGCAATGACAGACTGACTTGGTGGTGATTCATTTTTGTTAGCTGTTGCAGAAATATCTATGCTAGTTCATGTACTCGAGAAACCTAAACTTTTTAAATTAATGTTTCTTGTCATGATTTTGATAAGAAATGGTGTTCGGATTCTTTTCTCTCTTAATGAGATTTATTATTTATGTATGATTGCTTGCCTTCCTGAATGCTTGGTGCTCTGTGCAGCCAGAAGAGGGCACCGGATCCCTTGGAGCTGGAATTACAGTTGGTTGACGGTTGCAAGGTGGGGTGCTGGGAACTGAACTAGTGTCCTCTTCAAGAACAGCAAGTACTCTGAACTGCTGAGCTACCTCTCCAACCTCCTGCTAAGGTTCTTCAGCACTCAGTGGTCTAGAAAGGGAGCATTTTCACCTCTATTAAATATTTTTTGGTGTAAAAAGTGACTTAAAGACTACAACTAAATTTAATTTAAAAAGATAATGACTCTGAAGTATCTCTTATGACATACAATTCAGAATTTACTTTAAATGCTGTGGTTCCTCTTTAGATTACCTCCCAATCCACCCAATTTATTTACAGCTATGTTAAGTATAGTGTCTTTACATGTGCTTTTTCTAAGAACTATTTCTTGAAATTGAAGTGGAAATACTTCTATATTCTTCCCTTTTCACATGCTATGCATCACCCTAAAATTACACACAGAAAAATCCTGTTTGGTTTTTATTTTTATTTTTTTTCTACAAAAACATTTCAAAGATACAGTGAAAAAAGGAAAAACCTAAACTAACCCTGTATTGACCTTGACACACAAGTAACTGTCACTGTTCTGCAGACTTTAATTCATCTTTACGAGGCGTGTGTGTGTGTGTGTGTGTGTGTGTGTGTGTGTGTGTGTGTGTATACACACATGTGCGCGCGGGTGGGGTGGGGGTGGATTTTACAGTCTAGATTCCTTGACCTACCATACAGCAGTGCTTACTCTGACCTGGGTTACAGCTGGTGCAAAGTAGCACTGCAAGCGGCCAGTGGCTGTCCAGCACTTACACTTCAGACAACAGCAAGCCTTTTATGTGCAAACTGATGTAAATACCCAGTGGTGCTACTAAGACTCTCAGGCAATCCCTTGCTCTTGGTTGACACTCCAAACGGGTCTCCAGGGCTTAGGGAAAGCGGCCATTTGATTCACCTTGAGTGCTTGTTAACCAGATTTCAGGAAGCGTTTCTGATTCCGTAGGTCTAGGTGTGGCAGTGAATGTGCCGTTCTAATGAATTCTCGGGTGATGAGGTTGCGAGTCCAGAGATTTCAGGGAGCCCAAGGGACTAACTGCATTACCATCCAACCTGACCAGCAGCAGGGGAAATGCATGGACAAGAGCGACGGCGGTCCTGACGTCTTCTGCCACCACCTCCATCCTCTGTCGCCGGGAATGGGTCAGAACAGGCAAGCAGCGGGAGCGGTGCCGGTGCTTTAGGAACGGGAACTCCTCTTCCAACTTCCGCCCCTGGGGAAAAGCAGAAGCCGTCAGCCCCAGGAGAGCTGCTCTCCAATTCGCAGCCTTTAGGTTCTGGCTCCGGAGACAGTCCGTCCTCCCGGCGATCGAGGGCCAGCGCAGCGGCACCCACCCTGCAGCCCGGCGGAGGCAGGTGAGGGCGGGGACCCTGGCCTGGTGGGGGGGGGGGGGGCGGCTGGGTTGAGTCCCACCGGATCCCGGACTATTCCTCGCCAGCGGCCCCGCAGGGCGGAAGATGGCTGCCCCGGAGAGCGGCGGACAGTCACGTGTCACGCAGGCAGGGCCGCTGCTGGTCCCCCCCCCCCCACCCCCGCCCCCAGACCAGACCCTGCGGGCCGCGCATCCAGGGCGAGCTATGCCCCCGCAGCACGCGCCGGCGGGCCCAGAAGGCCGGGTGCCCCGGAAGCCTGCTGTTCCTGCCGCGCGATCGGGGTCCCGGTACTGGGTTCCACTGTGCGAGCAGGAGGAAATCTGCGGGCGACCCGCACCCCCGTGGGGCCATTGGGCATGCGCAGTGCTCCCGCTCTGGTGCGGCGCTCTCCAGGTTTTCGCCGCAGCTCCGAGCGGCGGCGGGAGGTGGGGCCCGGCCGGACTAGGCGGCCCGGTGCTCCGAGACTGTTAGGAGACCTCCTGGGCCTCCGAGCTGCCTGGCGCTGCGTGATTTAGGAAGCCGGCAGACCCCTGATTTTCTGGGAAGATGGGAGTGTAACGATTAGAGCTTTGGGAAATGTTCCGAAGAGTTGGAAGACCATCCATTTTAAATGATCAATTACAGTCACTGGTGTCGCAGCTCTTGGGCTGGGTGGGGAATAAAATCCCAGTGTAGTTCGCAAACTGGTGTCCCCGATGGTGGTTTCTCGAAGGCTGAGTTTGAGTCCCCAGCTCTCTGGCCGGCTCTAGCTGCACACATCTCAGGCTGACCCCCTAATTGGGCTTCTGATCCCGAAGGATGAAACCCACCATCTGGGCCCTTCTCGTCTTCGGAGGAAGCGCCCCCTCTCTCCGGTTCTCGTTTCTTGAAAAGGAAAAGGACCCAACCCCCCCCCCCCCCACCAGCACAACCCACTGCTCGCTGTCCTGCGAGACTCCGCTGGGTCCCCGGTCGAGCGTTCACGGTCCCCGCCCCCCGGCCGCCGGGAACACCCGGAGGAACGGACCGGCGTCGCGCGGGAAGCCGACCCGGCTCCGCCGCGGACTGGGCATGCTCGGCAGCCGGAGGCTCCAAGTCAGAAGCCTTCTCGCCAGCTCCGCAGCGGCCGGGGCAGCGGCGGCGGGCTGCCGGCTGGACAGGAGCGGGGAGGGCCGGTCCGGTCGGGCTGCTGGTCCCGGGAGCTTAGCACTTGGGCAGGAGAGCGCGATCGGTTGCAGAGCCCGCACGCCGCCGCTCTGCCCCGGATTTCGTTCCGCGGCGGGGAGCTCGGCGCGTGGAAAAGAATTCCGGCGGCTGCGACGACTCGCGTGCAAGTGAGTCGCGGGGCGGGGGCGGCGGGCCGGCCTCCGGGTCGCGGGCGGCTGGATCTGACCCGAGACTCGCGGGCCGGGCCTGACCTCGGCGGACTGCAAGCGGGCAGCCGGGGCGAGGGGGCGTGAGCGCAGCCCGCGCGGTGTCGCGCGCGTACCTGGCGGGCGGTCCTCCCCCCCGCGGCCGCTCGTGGGGGTGGGCGCGGGGGAGCGCTCTGGCGGCCGCGATCCCGGCTCCGAGGGGGCGGGCCGCCGGCGGGGCTCCCCCGCCAACTTGGGCGGGGAAGAAGGCGGAGGCGTCAGTGGGCACCTTTCCGAGGTGCTGCGTGCGGGCGCTGGAAGGCTGCCTGGTGTCACATTGGGGCGAGCGGACGGTGGCGGGGCCCGAGAGCCCAGAGCCGAGGACCTTTCCAGCGGCAGCCAGCCGGAGGTCCCGCAGTATTCCGGGGTGGACCCCCCAAATCGCAGCCCCACCCCCACAGCCCGGGCGGCGGAGTGACAGTTGGTATCTCCTGGTCTGCTCGCAGCCGGCTAGGCGCCCGCGGCTCTGGGATTCCCTTCAGCACGGCCCCTCGATGACCCCCAACGACATAACAGGTGGGACCCCCCTTTTCGGAGGAGCGAGCCCCTCCTCCCCAGGCGGCGTAACAGCCCCCGGCTCGCGGCTGCTCTGAGACCCCGTGTGTCCCCGCCGCGTGGGGGTGTTAAAGGGTAAGGCCTGCAGGGGCGTCCGCGGAGCTCTGGTCGCCGTTTGCTTAGCGAATGAGGGGTCTGCGTGATCGTAGGCGACTTGTCAAGGGCACATCAGCGGCAGCACTTGCTGCCTCTGCCCGCGTCTTAACCCACACTCCGGCTATCTTCCTTCGGTGGTCCCGGTGCCCTGGTCCAGCTAACGGATTCATCCTGGCACGTTCTGGTTAACGCTTGATCCCTTTTGACTGTCGCGAGTAACAGTCGGGGTGAAGGATGTTGTGGTCCTGGGGAGCTGAGAGAATCCGGGCAGGTGCTTCTCGGATGTTTCATTTCACCTTCAGACAGGACAGAGTTCAGCGGTGCACACTTATACCAAGACAGAAGGCTGGTTTCTGACGGGAAGTTTATTTTCTGTGTTCTGAGGCCTGCCTACTGTCATAGCTCACCCGAAATTTACCGTCCTCAGATTGGGGATGTTTCTGGTTGGCTATCTGGTTGTGGAAGTGGTGAATGCCTATCAGGCTGTGCTGTCAACTCCCCATGCCTTCTGGCCTGGGGGCTGAACATCAGCAGGGGTGGGGGCTGAGAGAGCAGAAAAGAGTGGGGTTGATGAGGTAGGGTCCTGGTGGAAGTTGCCTTGGGTTTGGGAGGCAGTTTGGGTCTGTGAGGCAGGGGAGAGGAGGTCCGGGTGTTTCATTGGTCAGTGATAGGTGTCCAAGGAAGAAGCCAGCCAGGGTTGGGTGACGATGTGGTCAGTTTTTTTGTTTTTTAAAGGGAAGCCCAGGGATGTTTGGTGATTCAGCAGGTGGCAGGTTTCCAGCTCTGAAGCCTTGCCTTGGAGGAGCAAGCAGGCAAGGAGGCTGCAGAGCCGGTGCCCGCTGTTGGCCCGCTGTGGGGAAACCTCCAAGAGCGGGCTTCTTATACACAATAGAGCTCTTTCCTGGTCTGCTTGCTGTTTCCTTTCGGATGCCCTGGTCCTTTGGGTTTCCTTAGTGATCCTCTTAAACTATAGAGCACATTTTAAAGCCTCTCCATCACAGACCTGCTGGGTAGGAGGAGGTGGCCATCACTACCTTGCAGTTTAGGTGGTTCTACACAGAGAGAGCCCCCCTTCTGTTTCTGCTGCAGAGACCAGCCATTTTTATTGTTAGTAAATAGATATTTTTCTGCCACTTGTCACTGACATTGAACTACTTCATTTATCAGAGAACTTAAAAAAAACTACTAATTCAAGATATTAAGTTATTAAAGGCACACATTTGTTTAAAGTATCTTACTCACTGGAGAACTCTAGAGTCTTGCATGATGTCTGATCTGTCTGTAGTATTCAGGAAATGCTTATTCATATTTAAAAACATTTTTCATAATAGAAGAGCATTAGTATTTACCACATTCCTCATCATTTTTGTCTGTAAATGGGATTCTCTCCTGTTACCAATTTTAGAATAAAGAATGCACAACAATGCCTATGAATTATATATGTTGGACGATTAAAGAGCTTTGTGTGATTTCCCAAGATGCAATTGCCTTGTGTTGACCATAAACATCAGTTTTATGTCAAGCACTCAATACTTGTTCACATTTTCATTTTCAACTTGTGGCAGGTACTTCTCTTGAGCTAGAATAAAGGGTATTTTTTGGGGATAGCTCATAAAAAACACGAAGGAGGACTCTTAATACCAGTAGCCGCCAGCTGTTTTGAACTAAAATGTGCTCCTGGCACATATCATATGCTCTCTGATTGGTAAGACCGAATTTCCTACAAAGCACTTCAGGGAAGCTGTAGGTTCCCTAACTTCGTGTCCTCCAGTGATAAGCGCTGCTGTAGAAAAGGCGAAATCTGCTCAAGTGCTGAGGAAACAGTTCTGTGGGGACAGGACAGGACAGATTATAGGTGACTGTGTCTTTGCCTGTTTTGGATGGCACTATTTTTTTTTTAATTTAAGAACTTCTTGGTATGCCTGGTTTTTAAAGATTTGGGCTTATTGGTCAAAACTCTTCATCAGGAATATAAATGCGAGAGAGAGAGAGAGAGAGAGAGAGAGAGAGAGAGAGAGAGAGAGAGAGAGAGAGAGAGAGAGAGAGAGAACACAGATGCTTATGTATCGTTCCCTTCTACATCCCAAGAGCTGTGCCACAAAGTTTATCACCTTAGTTCGGGTACCCGATAAAACCCATCATAGTTGGATCAGTTCAGTGTGGTGTGAGGACGGGGAACGAATGAAGGGCAGGCCCTGTGGGCAGGGGAGGGTTTGCGACTGTGGCTGGAACTTCTGGTTTCAGTCAAACCAAATTGAGTGGCTGGTGAAGAGGTGTGGCTCAGTGTCTGCTAGGAAGCTTTGTCCCCTCAGAGTCTTGTCTCAACATATAGACACAGCACACACAGGTGTAGGCAGGGAAATATTGAGATACACACACACACACACACACACACACACACACACACACACACACACACACACACACACAGATCTACAGATAGAGACACGGAAGGGAAGGGAGACAGATAACATGTAGACACATGCCCTTTTGCCAAAAGCCAAGATGAATCCCACTTTCTTTTTAATCTGTCAAAGGGAAAACTGGGCCTCAATGGAATGCTGGAGTCCAGGGCTTTGAATTACCCCATGCTTGTATTTGAGCAAGAATTCCTTATGCTGTCAGTGGCCTGCTAGACATCCTTTAATGATTCAAGGTGATTTTTTTTCCCCTAAACTCTTAAACGTGATCAGTTCTTGTCATCTCCATCCCTCTCCACTGCCTCTGCTGCCAGGGCAGTTGACTCTCATGTATTGGACGAGTTTGTTTGTTTGTTTGTTTGTTTGTTTTTCGGGGGTGGGGGGATGGATATTTGTTAAAGATGTGTTACTTGATTTGTTGTCTTCAATTTGTATAAATGGTGCTGAGGCTGCAGATCAGTGGTGGATCAGTGGTAGAGTGCGTAAGCATGCACAGGGTCCTGGGCTCCATCTGGAGTACTGCAAAAAAAAAAACACGTCAAACCTCCAAAAACATTTATCTTGGAAACATTCCAACATTTCACGAGAGTTGACGGAATTTCTTTCAGTGTTTTATTAGGTAGTTTTGTGTGAGTGTGGGTTTAGCTTGTATGTATGCACTCATACATACGCATGTACTGTCTTAGGGTTTCTATTGCTGTGAAGAGACCATGGCAACTCTTATAAAGGAAACATTTAATTGGGTGGCTTACAACTTCAGAGGTTTAGTCCGTTATCATCATGGTGGGATATAGTGCCATGCAGACAGACATGGTGCTGGAGAAGGAGCTGAGAGTGGAGAAGGAGCAACATCTTAATCCCACAGGAAACAGGAAGTGAAATATCTCACTAGGTGTAGTTTGAGCATAGGAGACCTCAAAGCCCACTCCACAATGACACACTTCTTTCAACAAGGCAACACCTCCTGATAGTGCCCCTTACTATGAGCTTATGGGGGCCAGTTACATTCAAACGACAACACACACTCATATGTTTATATGCACGTGTGTGCGCGCTTGCGTGCTAGTAATGGGTGCTTAACTCATCTCAATCCTGTGCGTTCTCTTACTGATCTCTGCGAGAGGATCTCTAGGGGTAGTGGTTTTGGAAGCATGCTCCCTGCCAGTGATGCAGATTTGAGGCCACCTGAATCAGAAACCCTGGGGCAGAAGCTGCTAATCTGTGTTTTAATGTGCCTAACCTGGAGATTCTGACACAAGGGAATGTTTGAGAACTGCTGCTGTAGGGGCCTGCATCCAGGACCCGGCCCCAGGAGGCTGAGAAATAAAGTACCAGTGTGCTCTGAGTTACTTTCAGAGCTGCTGAGCTGGTGTACACTTCCAAACTGGTTACAGGGATGCCACCCTGCATCCTTATTAGTGTTGAACATTAACCAGCTCTATAATTTACCAGTGTTTTGTGGCTAGATAATGAGCTCTCATTGTTTTAATGTGGATTTATGTGATTCTTAATGAATTGGAGGCATTCCTTATATTATTTAGTTGTTATACAGTTTCTTGGACCAATGGCCCATTTGCTCTTCTGTTCCTCCCCTCTTACTCTCTTTCCTCTCCCCCACATTTGTGTTCCTTTCCCTGCTTCTATTTTGTGAGACAGTTTTTTCTAAACCACCGATTAAACAAGGCATTCTTTCATTATTTTGGTGAGGCAGTTTTGATTGTATATCATGTTTCCGCATACACAGGAGACTTTGTCAATTTATCAAGAGTTATAATTTATGTAGATAAATCAATTTAAAATGTGTACTTTACTTTTGACAATGTAGCTATCTTGAAACCCACACAGTGAAGATACTGAACATTTCTGTCACCCCCAAACTTTCCTTGGGCCCATTTTGTAGTCAGACCTTTCCTGTTACACCCAGACTTGTGTAATCACTATAGCTCACCTTTCTAGAGTTTTATATAAATGTCCATACTGGATGATACTTGATTGTGTTTGGTTCCTGTCACTAAACATACTGGCTTATAATTTTTTGCAAAATTGTGACACGGTATTTAAAATATCTTCTTTTGAACTATGCCACAAGATATAGAACATAAGCCTTCCAGGCAGTCATTTTTGTATAATTCAATAGTGTGATGTTCATGTTGGACAAGCATCAACATGATCCCTCTCTAGAATGTCATCACCCTACACCAAACCCTGTTCCCCTTAAGCTCACCCTATTAATTTTGAGATGCCTCACAGGGTTTGGTATTTTGTTCTTAGTTCTTTTCCAGTCTTCTGTTTCTGCGCCAAAGCCTTATTTTTTCCTTAGAGCTTTGCACCATGTTTGATGTGGTGGGATGGGACTCTCTTGTTCTTAGATGTTGGCTTGATCTTTGCTCTTCCATGTACATTTTGGAATGCTTTTTAAGTTCTCAGTAAAGTCTAGGAAATGTGATTGGCATTGCTTGGTTATAGTGTCATGGAGGGAATTGACACCATTTCTATTTTGATATTTTGATACTATTTTGATGCTATCATGGTCATTGCCATCCCATCTTGAAAAAATAACTTTTAAATAACGTTTCCAATTTTCTCCCTTATGGTAACATTTTTTTCTCATTATGGTGCTGGAAGGTCAGTTCAGGGCTGTATACATGCTGAACACATGCTGTACTGCTAAGCTACACTTCCAGCCAGTGGGAACTTTTTTAGGTCATATGTTTAGGCAGAGTAGAAGTTTGGATGTTGTATTATTAACAGTTGTTTTTCTGTTGTGACCAAACACCCGAGAGAAGCAATTTAAGAGCAGAGACATAATTGCATTCATGGTCCCTAAGCATTCAGTCTGTGGTTGTGTGGCCTCATGGAGGCAGCATGTGGAGAAGACTCTCATCATGGTGGGTAACAGAGAGAGCTACCAGGATGGGTTCAGGGACAAGATACCCCAAGGACTGCCTGGTGACCTACTTTTTCCAGCTGTGGACAGTCACCCAAAGTTTTCAAAAGCTTCTATAATAGCTCCGCCAGCAGGGGACCTAGCCTTTCACAATGTGCCTGTGGCAGACATTACATATTAAACCACAATTGTTCCTACCTCATGGGTGTAGATGGAGTAAGGGCTTTGGGGATAGGTCTTTAACGGTCTCTTCGTTTTTTCCAGACTTGAGTGACATTGGTCAATCTTTTCCTCCTCGCCATTTCACTGCCCCAAGCTCCTCCTTCCTCAAGCCTGGATAAGCAAAGTGCACCTCCTCTGTGAGGCTCTGGAGGTACCCCGAGTGTAGATCTGGAAACAGAGCTGTTGCTCAGGGAGTGCTGATGTCATAGCCCACCCAACACCGGCTTTAAATTTCAGACTTTCACCTGCTTCTAAGGGTTTATGACAAAGAAGTGTCAGGAAAGCAAAGTGAAGGGGCCAGCCAATTAGTGTGCAGCACTCGGATCTACGTATGGGAGCCTGGGCCTCTGCTTACTTTTTCAGACAGTATGGATACTCCTAAGGAATTTTACAGTTGAGTGGGGAGGAATATACAACTAATATACAAGTAACAATTAGAGGAGTCTTTGTGACAGATGGTATATAATTAGGGTTAAGTGCTACAGTGCCAGGGGAGTTATGGGAAGAGAGAAATCGGCTCTTGGAGTTTTCATTCCAATCGGGTGGCATTTGAATAGGGAGGAGAGAATAGCAAGGTGAAAACCAGTGTAATTAACGTTTCTGTTGGGGACCCTGAGGACCTGGTGTTGAATCTCATGGTAATGGATGTTGCATCTGGAATTTAAAAAAAAATTAATATTTTTTATATTTACTTATTTAGTGTGTGTGTGTGTGTGTGTGTGTGTGTGTGTGTGTGTGTGTGTGTTGGTTCTTTCCACCCACCATTGTAGTTCCTGGGAAATGAGCTCAGATTGTGAAGCTTAGTGGCAAGGGCCTTGCCTGCTAAACCATCTTGCCTACTCCCATGTCTGGAGTCAGGTGTCTTAAAATCAGTGTTCTGATAAGTAGTGATAGGTGACTGGTGTATTAGTAGATAACTAGTAGCTCTCTGAGTTCTAGAATGGTGGGTAAGAGCATCAACCATGGAGCTGGAGTACTTGGGTTTGCCTCTGGGCCTCACCGTGTATAGGCTGTATGCTGGCGGCAGGTTCTGTGGACCAGCTGTGCCGCAGGCCCCATGTTCTTGGGTGGGCATAAGAACAGCAGCTACTGTCCAGGGTTGTTGAGTCAGTGAGAAAGATGTAAGCTAACATTTGTAAGGCACCGAGTGTCTGTTACAAAGTGTGTCAGTTAGCTCTGTCGCTGTGACAAAGTCCCTGAGAATGGGGTATCTCTCAGGGATGATGTTTTTTTTTTTTCTCCTCCTTTTCTTCTCCTGAGATAGGTTGATGATCAAACTGAGGATCCAGCCTCCCACCCTGCTGTGCTGTGACAATTACCTTTTAAGGAACAAAGATTCATTTTGGATCATTGGCTTTTGGTTCCAGTCCATGGTCATCTGGCTTGAGGAGAGGTTGTATATCATGGTCGTGTCACTGGGATCTTGATGTCACCTCCCTTCAGTTCCCTGGTCTTTGTGACTTCTGAAGAATTAAGATGAGACACACAGAGTGTAATGCAGAAGACAGGCAGAGTTTATTACTAATTTTTATGAGTATGTTTATTACATGATACAGAAGGTAGGCAGAGTCAAACAGACTTGCTCTGTGTGAGTGCTCAATGAACTAAGGGCCTTTGTGTTGATTGACACGCTAGCATGCTTTTTACTCTTACTAAAGCATCTACAACACATGGTTTCCTTAGGGGTGCTCTCCTGCCCAGGTGATTGGCAGGCCCATTTGTATTGAGTTTCACAGAGAGAGTGCCATGGTGTGTCCAAAGTTTGGGACCCCTGGGACTAGATTTAGATAGCTTATCAGTTCATGACCTTCTGGGAAGTTTAGGATGTGACCTCTCCTTCCAAGGTCAGAGATGTAACTCAGGTTCCTTTACTTTAGGCGTTAATTAAGAGCTTGCAGCTTTGGTGCCTTCTGGTACCTGCAATGATCTTTTTTGAGAGGAGGGTCCAGCCCTGATATCCATCAAGTCTGCTGATTTCTGTCTACGTAACAGTGGCAATTCATAGTAGAGAAAGCCACTCACCTCACAGCAGCCAGGATGGAAGAGAGGGAGGAAAAGGCAAGGGTCTTCAGATCCCGTCTCAGGGCATGCCTCCCATGACCTAACTTCCTTCTGCTGGGCCACAGCTCTTAAAAGATCTTACTACTTTCCAGTAGCATCATAGTCTGGGACCAAACCTTCAAACATGGACATTTGGTGGATACTGGAGAGCCAAACTGTAGTACCAGTTTAGAACCTGTAAATATTAGCTCCTGTTCTTCCCACTTTTGTTGATTTTCCCACAGTCTTTCTCTGTTTCTTTTGAGGTGTGGGAGGCTTGCGGCCCCAGAGTTGGTTGGCATTTGTCCAGAAGGATCTGGTGGGAGGCTGTACAACCCAGTAGCGTGGGCTTTCTTCATGGTATTGGATGTTCAAGGCATGGTCATGTTGTAGACGGAACAGATAAGTGCCTGAGACACGGCTGAGCCAGGTGTAGTGTTTGGTGTTCTGAATGTCTTCCCTCAGAGCCCTGGAATGGAGTGGGAAGAAAGAAATGCAGTGGTGAACACACAGGAAGCGAGTCACGTTTTGCTGGTTTTCTAGTTCTGATTAGATGTTTTGGCAGAACTACAGTAATCCAGGGGTTCATGGAGGGCTAATCACAAACCGCTCTAGATCTGCCCTGACCCTGTGATGTGGATGTTGCCGTTCCCTTTTAGAGACAGGAAAGTGAGGCATGAAAAATTTCCCTGAGAAAATAGGAGGAACAGTGTCCTGAAGGAGATCATGTTTGGGGCTCTTGCCTGTTGGCAAAAACAACAACAACAACAACAACAACAACAACAACCAGTGGGTGCTGTTGGTGGGGAGCCAGCGTAATTATGTCAGGTTGTGATACACAGGTTGGTCCAAGCTGGGTATTTCCGTGACCTTGTGACCTTGGGTGTTCCTCTGCCTGAGCTAGTGGGCCCCAAGTTTCAGTTTGCATCAGTTTCACCACTAAGCCCTGCTTGCTGGGCCCAACCCCCAGAGCTTCTGAGGAAGGTAGCTTGGGGACAGGTGGCAGCCAGCAGTGTGCTTGTATGTTCATGACTTCCCAGGTGCTGCTACCATTGATCTGGGGACATGCTTTGGGAACCACCACCCGAAGCTGTGTTGCAGCAGCTGGGAACCAGTTGCTTCTACCTCACTAGAAGGTGTCCATTTGGGGTGGCAAAGCAGTGCCCGTGTTCAGCACTGTTTGTGACAGGGCTAAGAGCAGTGGCAGACTGGGGCGTCAGCAACACCTGACGACCTGAGGTTCCTCAGAACATGAAGTGCCACCCAGCAGCTTGTCTTAGGAAGATGGCATCATTTGTTTTCCGTCTCCACTTCCACATGCCCAGATTACGGGGCTGCTTTCTATCCACCATTTAGCCCCATGGGAAAGCGAAGCACAGATGATTCAAGATTCCTAGCCTGGCAGTGGAGAGATAGAAGGCGGTCTCGTTTACTGATTTAACTGTGATGGCAAAGTGTTTGTGGGAAGAAAGAGCTTGGTGCCTCGCAGAGAGAGCAGGTAAGAGGGCTACCAACCACATGGGCACACCGATACTAATGAGTCCTCAAGCAACATAAACAACTGCAGGTATCATAGTGGGTTTGCTGCTTTGCAACTGACACTCCGTGTCCCCGTGTGAGCAGGGTTATAGCTAAAACTGGAAGGAGCAGCTTCTAGCCTAGAAAAGGTTTTGTGAGAGAGACATGTCCTCAGGTAGTATCATCACCACGTAGTGAGGCCAGGTCACAGCTGAGCACCAGGCCCCTGGGACAGTGGTCGCTTGCTGCAGCGTCCTGGCGTCGGCACAGTGTGCAGAAGGGAGCTGATGGTATAGGATGGCAGCTTGCTGTGGGCGGAGCATAAACGGTCCTTGGGGTGGGGGGTAGGGGGAGTCTAGGAAGGTGGGATCTAGTAGTAGTGGTCATTGGCAACAAGAACTGGTGATCAGGACTGTGTTCCGAAGCCGGAGAGTCACAGGAACATTTCCAATTCAAATCTTTGTCTTTAAAGATACAGCCAGACCGGTTCCTAAGATGTAAACCTAGGAAAGATTGACTGACTTGCTTTTCAGTTTGGGTCTTAGTGCTGAGTTCTACTCTCAGTGGCTGTGTTTTCTCTCTCTCTTATTTCTGCCTCCTCCTCCTCCTTCTGAAGTGTCCTTACAAATGAGGGCAGGCTGAGCCTGTGTGCCGGCCAAGTGGCTGGGGAACCTTGGGCCTCTGCTCATGTGTTTGGAAGGGAAAATTTGGAACAGCTGACTGCTGGCCAGCTAGTCCCCAGATATCATAGCTCCCTCCCAAGACTGGGGCATGCCTGAACAGTGCAGCTCATGTGTTTACATCGGCAGTTGTTTGGTATTCCTCTGGTAGTGAAACTGTTTATTTGAGCACTGTTTTCTGTGACCCCGTTTTGCTTTGTTCATGCCCAAGCCACTTGACAGGAAACAGCAGTTAGAGGTCTATTTTCCAGCTGTTGAAGGCTTGCTTTTTGTCAGGGAGTTAGAAAAGGCCTCTGCAGGGAACACCTATGGCTGTCAGCCAAAGCCAGGCTTCCCCGGGACACCTGAGATGAAGGAGGGCAGGTGAGGGCATGATGGCAGATGTGCCTGGCTGCTGGGTCGCAGAAGAGGATGATGTTAAGATTCTATGTTGGAGGAAGGTGTGCTGTCCCTTTTTTCTCAGGAGAGCTGTCCTGATCATTCAGTGGTCCAGTGGAGTGAGACCCGATGCTGTTGCACTGGAGGGCCTCTGTCTTTCTGTCCTCTGCTCTCTGACCATGTTACCCCTTCCCTGTGATTTTACCCTTGCTTGTCTCTGTTATCAGCTCACCGTTTCCACCTTGCAATCTCTGGTGCCTGCACAGCAAGCCACCAGGTGAAGGCCCTGGGTCTTAAGTGAAGTCTTGGTAGATGGCCTAAGTCTCTGACACTTCAGCTTTAGCTAGTGTGACGTGTACAGGTGTGGACAGAACAGAGCCTAGGTCACGTGGAGTTTCTCGGTTATAGGCACAGGTCCTAATTGAGGAAGCAAACAGGAGACACATTAGGAGGTCAAGAGGTGACGACTCCTCATTCAGGGAACAGCCTGGGAAGAGCTTTGCCAACCATTCACAAGGTCTGAAATTTGACATTTCCTTTAGTGCATAGAGACACCCAAGTACTTTGGAAGGCCCTACCAAGTTACCAGCTGGGGGATGGGCAGTAGTCCAAGTTTCCATGGGCCCTCAACCTGACTGATTCTCCTTTGATTGTAGCAACAGAAACCAGACTGTCAGAACATTCAGGACTTCTGCAAGCTGCAAAAGTGTGGTCACCATTTCTTTGATGGCCCTGTCAGCTCCCAGGTCCGTGGCTGAACTCCTGGAAGGCTCCACAATGAGATGTCCCCATTTTGCGTGTACTTAAGTGTGTGTTTTTAGGGGCATAGTAGCTTTAGCCCTCACTGACTTTACCATGAAGGTGTCTGAAGGCCAGTTGTCATGACAGTGGGTGAAAAGTGAAAATCGTACCCCTGAGAACTTGACCTTAGCACTCTTCCTGTTTTTTTGGAGGAACTTTTGGGAAGTGATCACCCAAGAGGAAGCAGGTGGACATGTTGAAAACCTCATAGATGACCCAGGGCATGTGTTTCTGTCTTATGGATGGCACAGGCTTAGTTTTCCTCAGAGGAAGTTAGAGCAACGTGGCACAGTGGGCAGTGGTGCCATGTTACACTCTTGTCCTGTTCTCCAAGGCAAGAGGAGGTGCTGAGATGCTGGAGAGAGAGGCAGGCGGTGCTCGGAGCTGGTGCTGATTCAAAGCTTGCTGTGGCCCGTGGACACTGGACTTGAGCCTGGAGAGGACGGTTTGTGACTTTGGTGGTCGGTGTCATAACTTTCCAACCCCAGGAAGTTCATGATTGTTGCCTTCAGATGAGGCGTATTTAAGAGTGATAGCATAGATACGTACTATCTGACCCAGCCATTCTGCCTTTAAGGGTCTAATTTGAAAAACAGTTAAGATCTGTCTTCATGCCAGAGTTCTTGATCAGTAATGGAAAGTTGGAAGCCTGACATCCAACTGTAGGAGTTGGTTAAATAAATGGTGTCTATCCACATAACAGGCTAGCAGCAACCCTTAAAAATACACCTATGAGAATAGAGGTGTTTTGAAAACATCAGTATATACTGCTTTTGTTACAAAACTAAACTATTGATATGACATTGGCTGTCTGTCTTTGTAAGCCCGTGATGAAGCAATCCGGTGTGGCTCCTGTGCATAGGGAGCTTCAGCCTCCGAGAGAGGCAGGCCCCACTGACTTGGCCAGCTAATCTCCTGTGACTGTTCACTGCAGAACGACAAGAATGATTTCCTTGATAATGTTTCTATGGCTCACGCCCGTTTCAGG